ATATTTTTAATTAATAAAATTTATTTATTTATAATGCCAAATTTATAGAAATTAAGTAAATCCTTAATAAATAATTTGTAATTTTATAGTATAGGATTTTTATTTTAATTATATTAGAGTAATAAGATCTATTTAAAATTTCTCGGCGATTTCATAAATTTCGTTACGTGTCGATCACTATCTCCGATCACGTGACATGCATAATTCGGAAATTTCACTCGAAAGCATACCTGCACAGGTGCTGCCCAGTCGCTGCACAAGTGACTCACGGGGAGCATTTTTCGGCACCCCAAAATAGTAAAAGAAACTCTGCTGCTCTGATGTAACTATCGCGTAACCACGTTTCTTAACCTTAGGATTTAAAATTTTAAAAATACATTTATTATATATAGTAAACGATGTATTTAAATAGTACGTTATGAAATGCTTGGATATGATAATGTCATAATGAACAAAATTTGAAGTAGGATATTTTTTTCCTGCTCACCTGTGTTCTATCTAAACATGTATGAGATAATTTGTAAAAAATACAAAAATTATAAATTTAGAAAAAATATATAAATTTCTTTTGTACAAAAAATGCCAACCACAAACTAATAATAAAAATATAATTAATACTTTAACCAAACCTAAACCAAGTAGTAATTTAAATTTAGATCCTAAAATCTTATAAATGTCTTCATAATTATCTTATTATTCAGCAACAATTTGTTTAGGCATTTCGGGAAGCGGTGGCGCGTCTTCCTTAAGTCTATTTAAGATGGATTCTGCCTTTAACGCAATTGACATACTCCTTGCAACGCGCCTATTACCTCGTCTATTTCTGCTTCTTGTGTCCAAATCTCTACCGTCTCTTAAGGTTTCCAATAAATTATCCATCAAATGTTTCTCTTCTGATGAATCCATAGTAACACCTTCGCCAACATGTACACCTGGACTTGTTGCAGCAGCACGTTTCTTCCGATTTTCGATTTCCTGTTAAAGAGTAAAAAAGTCAGAAATTGCATTTGTATAAAGAGAATTCTAAGATATTTTATTTACTTCTCTTCGCCTCTGGGCTGATAACTCGCGTTCCTTGACTTTCTTGTTATCGGATCTTACACGCTATTGTGAGACAACACATAAGGCAAGGCCATGAAGGATATAAATTTTAGAAGAATCAATCAAATCACAAACCTCGAATGAAGTAATAAAAGTTTTAAATATTCCAAAAAATTCATCAGGTTTCGTGTTTTTAACATCTTCGCCAAAGTAAGATAAAACGTCCTTATATGCAACTTCCATTGAGGTGTATTTAACTCGAAGCTGCTCGAATTTTTCTTGTGATTTTACAACAAATTCCTTCATTATTTCAGGGAATTTATCATTCTCCTCTAGTTCAACATCTGTATAATGCATTTGCAATTCAACAGCAAGGTCATTTAATTTCGTTCCCATCATTCGATACTCGTTCATCATATCTTGCTGAGATACTATAAGCAAATATCAGAATAAGTCACGATATCCTTAATTATGCCATCTCAAAAAGCAAATAACAAATTACTACCTCTACACGCAGACCCACAATCTTTTAACTCTTCGGCGAAACCAAGTATATGTGGTGTTTTTTCTTCAACAGTATCAGCCAAGAAATGCAGCAGAGTAATAGACGAATTATTTGAAGCTTTGGTATCAACAAGCTAATTTAAAAGATCGTTTGTTGAAATCATCGTCCGAATTAAATTTCATATTATTTAAAATACATTTATTATTACCTTGTTTATACTTGCAATCTTAAAACCAAATGCACCACCTTTTAGACCTGAGCCATTCATGTAATTTCCAAGCAATAGTATAAGCTAAAACAAAATTGCAGAAATATTAAAATGCATTGAAACATAAATTTGAGAAAGCAATTGCAAAACTCACATTCATCAATTCCTTGAAATGCTTTGAATCTTTAAGGGCTATAGAGGCATTTAGTATTGAAACAATGCTCTAAAATTTAATCATATAATAACTTAATAAATAATGTTTATAAAGATAGATATGCATATAATACATACATCATTTAGATCCGTGAATTTCTCGCTAAATGTAACATAAAAATACATGAATTTCAGTCGTTGTTCATATCGATGAATTTTCATCACCTAGTGATACGAATATAAGGTTAAGTTGTATTCAGAAAATTTTGAAACACAGCTTATTACACACCTCGACAAAGAATCGGTCAGCGCGGGCCAAGTTATCAAAATCCTCTGTTCCTTCTTTAAAAACTGCCAATTTTCCACGCTAAAACAAGCATAAAAAAAGGTAAATAAATATTCACATAAAACGATATTTTAAAAGGTTAAATTAGACCTTACTTCGTCAGGCGTTGGTGTATATTGCATCAGCTGACTAAGGAAATTTTCCGTACAAAAGAATTCATCCATCTCGACGATCTTTTTGTGTATTTCCTCAAATGTAACTTGCTTATACCGTCCAAGTACAACATCTTTAAGATAAAATTATGAGACTATAATTCAATATATTAATATTCATTGAAGAAACACCTTAAGCTTACTAATATTATATGCTCTCTTCGGATCAAGAACACTGATTTCATCTTTTTTTTCCGCCTTCTTTTCTATATATATATATAATTATTTTAACTTTGCTGAAAACATGAAAGATAATGAAATGGAATCCAAAATTATCATTAATTTATTCCTCACTTTTTAATGCAAGCTCCTTTGCGGCGAAAAGTTCTTCAATGCTGGCAAAAACGCCAAATTCGCCACCAAGCAAGCGAAGAAGCTCTTCTTCACTCATATTTGCTTGACCCCAGAATGTCTTGTTAATAGTTAATGTATTAAGTTTATCCCATTGAAGCTGTAACAGCTTCTTCTTTGCCATAAATGGAAGTTCTTTACGTGGTTGAGCTAAGAAAATTGTAAAATAATAATCGGTTATATCAAATAGTATATCCTGAAAATATTATTGTCATACATACCTGTGGCGCCAAAACGTGGTGGGGCTGGACCGCCTTTACCTGGAGGAGGAGGCGGTGGTGGTGGACCGCCTTTACCTGGGGGTGGAGGTGGCGGTGGCGGTCCGCCAGTACCTGGAGGTGGTGGTGGTGGCGGTGGAACGTTGCTACCTGGAGGAGGAGGAGGTGGTGGTGGTGGTGGTGGAACGTTGTTACCTGGAGGAGGTGGTGGTGGCGGTGGAATGTTGTTACCTGGAGGAGGTGGTGGTGGCGGTGGAATGTTGTTACCTGGAGGAGGTGGTGGTGGCGGTGGAACGTTGTTACCTGGAGGAGGTGGTGGTGGAGGCGGTGGAACGTTGTTACCTGGTGGTAGTGGTGGCGGTGGTGGAACGTCGTTACTTGGGGAGGATGGCGGTATTGGGACTCCTTGCTGCGAGGAAAGTGGCGGTCCTTGTGTAACTTGTTCAAGTGAAGATGATGGTACAACATCTTGTGATGATGATAATTGTGACTGGACCTTATCGTCACCAAGGGATACACCCGATTGCAGTCGATTTTGTTCATCTTGAGTTACGTTTGATTCTGAATCATCAATTAGATCGGATGAACTATCATCTTGGGATCCTACTTTCCCGCCATTCTTCCTCTTGTAATTCTTTATATCGTTCATCAAATCTGAATTCATTTGTGGTTGGTCTGGGATTGTAAAACCTAATGGGTAATTAGGCATTGATTGGGAATCCTGTCCTTGAGGATGACCAACAGCTGATGTACTTTGTGACTCGGTGGTACCTGTAGTCGCTGCATTGTGACCATTTTGATTATATATATAATCACTTGCATCTGGCATCTGTAATTAATAGCACGAAAATTAAGGTTAGGACATACAGCAAACATTTTGATTATTGATAAGATATAAATATACCTTAAAGTCACCGAAAGTTGGGGTCCAAACTTTTCCTCCCACTAATTTCGCCTCGGTCTTCGCAATTTCTTGCATTCTTTCCAACTTCATCATAATTTCTTGTCGATTCATAGATCCAGAATCGGGTGCATTTTGTTGTTCTTTCAATATCCTCTCAAAATCTCTAAGCTCAACGTTGTGTTCAGTTAACTTTTCGTAATAACTTGCTTCTAGATCGATAAGTTTTTGTTGAAGCGTTTGTATTGTGTGACGTGAAATGCGTAAAAGTTCCTCAAGCGAATCGATTTTATTCCTGAGCTCTCCTACCGTTTCATCTATAAAATATTCCACGATTAGTTTAATTAACTAGAAAGTTTATAATTATCAATGTGATTACTAATCACCAGATCTGGAAGCAAGCTCCTTTTGTAACTCGTGTTTTTCATGCAAAGCCTTTTCCGCTAAAGCTTTAGCTTCTTTTGCTTCTTCGAGGGCAGCTTGAATTTTATCCTGATCCGCCATCTTAGAAAGCACTTGTGAGACAGTGAGACCCACTGAATTATTCCATTCTTGATCAATCCCGTGTTTATCCATTACAACTTGGGTGATCAACGAGTCAATAAGCTGAAAATATCTCGTTCTATAAAGAAATATTAAAATTAATGTGTGTCTTTTATAGAACTTTTCTTGAAGCCTTGTCGCGTCATACCTTACTTCAACGTCATTACTACGAATAAGCAGCATATGCTGCATAGCCGATAGAAAAAAGTCATAAGCACGCGTACCTTTGACCGTAGCAAGAATACACTGAAACACGTCATGGGGATCAGTACAAAAAGTTAAGGTTTAAAAGAATAAGGCTTTATTGTGATACGTAAAACCCAATATTAAAGGATATGTCATATCTTGCATAATCTGTTGATTATAAAAATCCAACACATCTTCATAATCTAATTCACTTTCACGTTCAAATTTACTTATTTGCCGAGTAATTAATTCATAATTAAACGCTTTCATTTTCTAAATAAAGAAAGAAAGAAAAATAAGCAAATTTCACAATTTGTAAGATCAGAGACCGCAGAAAATATATCATACTTACATCAATGATTCGTGTCAAGCCACAGGCGTGCAACTGATTCCTTAGATGTACTCGAATCTCTACGTCATCACAGACTCCGATGATAGAGTTAACTAGGATCATGTTCGCAAGCTAGTTTACAATGTATACGTGAGATTAAACTTACGATAGAAAATTTATATATAAATTGGAGAAATCTTTCTAACCGCGTATTCCATCAATGAACCATCGATTCCCATTCCACTTTTTTTGTATTCTTCAGCTGCATTAACTAAACTGCCATGACGCCCACGACCATCGATTGTGCTCTCCAATATTCTCATCCAAGCATCAAATCTTCCATGTTCAGATCGAAATTGCATAAGTTGATCAAATCCTCCCAATACTAAATTGTGCCCAGTCGGGATTTCACAGTAACAAAAGAACGAAAGAACCTCAGCTACCAGCTTACGAGTATTCAGTTGAGGAGAGACGAGGGAGAATGTTATGCTGTAAATGCATGTTGGGTGCGATAATGCTTCTTGGGCGCCCCACTAAAATAAATAAATAATAAATAAATAAAATTACAGGTTAATACAAAATAGACGGTTGATATGAAATTCTTGAATACCATAGTAATAATACCCTGTTGTTTAATAAGGACTTTAAACATTTGACAATCTCATATTCCATTTGCAAATCAACCTCTCGCCTAAATGAAATTAAGTCATTAACAATTTTCATTAAATAGAGCAAGTTAAATAATTTAACAAAATTTCCACTCTACTTTATAGCTTTACGAGTAATACTATTTAAATGATTTGCTAGAACCTCTAAGCCTTTGGCGTCGATAAATGATCGGACCCATCTGAGAAATTAGGAAAGGTAAGAGATCGCAGAATACAATCTTAACTTTCAAATGTAAATAATAAAGAAAGATATTATCTCACGTTATAGGTAGTGTTCTTAAGGAAACGCTTAAAGAATTCATATGTTGGACAGTTATAGTGCCATCCATAATCCTTTTAAGATACCATTCGGGTGCGTTTTTGTCATGAGAAGAGATCAAAATATCTGTCGAATTAGGTTTCGTTTTCTATAAAAAAGAAAGAAAGAAAATAATGTAAGTTAATATGAAGTTCCTTTAAGATTACATATATATAGAAACTTCACCTTCTCCTGTAACAAGTCATTTTTTATCAGTAGCAATTTTTTTTCAGTTGGGATAGCCAACATAGCTTTTCTTTGCGATTCTGATAGATTTTTCAAGTCTCGCTTGTTCTGTAAAGGGAGAATTGTTCACACTGTATTAAATCATATGTAGTAAACACACTTACTCTTTTACAGCGATACCCATTCCGCATGTAAAATTAAAACATACCATCAACTCCAAGAACATTTCTTCAATTTGCTCATCAGTCAGTTGTGGTAATTCATTTTTCCCTCCAAAAGTTTCTCTATAATAGTTGCCCACCCAGGCTTGAAGTTCACTTGGCGAAAACGCTCCCGATATCCTACTTGCACCTGATTCTATACCTCGACTTGTGCTTGTATTCGAGGAATCAGGAAAATAATAACTAGAACTTGCGGAGTTATGGTCGCGAGAGGTACTCCTTGAATGTTGGTTGCTTGATGGAGTTTCCTGATAATATGGCTGTTCTCCTGGTGTTTGAGTGTGATAATGTGGTAAATGGTTAGAATGATGTGTTGTTTGTTGCGGCTGTTGTTGTCCAGGATAATGAGAAGTGATTTTGTTATATGAATTAGATTCCGTTATTTCAGGTGAAGACTGCTTTGACTTCTTCTTCTTCCATATTCCTGCCATAGTTCAAACGCAGCTCAAGAGTAAGAACAGGGGTAGTGATCAAGATGATGATGATTTTCTATCATATGATGTCGTTTTCTATAATTTACAGTGGTACCCATAATTTTTTGGAAAAATTAAAAATATAATATTATTTATTTTTAATTAAAAATAATTATTTAAAATAATAATAATAATATAAGTTATAAATAAAAGTAACTTTATAATATTCAAGTATTTATATTTAAATTTATATTTAATTTAAATAAGTTTTTATTGAGTTGAATATATTAAGCAAAATTCTAAATAATTTAAAATACTTTTTGAAACTAACTGTGCCACATGCATGGATTTTATTAATTATTATTATAAATTATATTTTTTTACATAAACAATCTAATAATTTATATTTTAAGAATATATTTATATATTGATGAAAATTCAAGAGTATAGAAATCCTGCTACTAGTTTAATTTAAAATACCATTGTAAATAAAAACAATTTTTTATAATTATAATAAAAATTAATATAATAAAATCTTTTTTTTTTTTTTTTTTTTTTTTTTTTTAAGGCTAAGTTGCGATACACACATGGATTTATTGATATAAAATCTTTTTTTTTTTTAGGGGATAAGTTGTAATACATGTATAAATTTTATTATTGTTAAATCAATTAAAACCACAATTATTTATATATTATTAGTCTATTAACTATTTCTAATATTAATTTATACTACCTGCCTCTTTTTATCAAAATATCAACTTATATCAAGTAGGTGGATTTATATTTTTTTTTTTTTTTTTTTTTTTAATACCAGAACGGCAATTAGTACCTTTATTACTTGTAAGGGATTACTGCATGGCAATATTA